CCCACCTTCTCCAGCCCCTGTCAGGCTCCTGGGAGCTGGCAGACTGCTCCTGGGGAGCGGTGGAGGGCTGGCTGCCAGTGTCTTGCTGGGTCATGTTTTGGGGCCACTGGGTCAGTGGCCCTGGTGGCCACTGCTGGCTCTGGGCTGGCAGGCTTGGAGCTCACACAGGCACTGTGGCCAGAGTCTACCCCTTTAATGGCTCTGGGGCTGAGGCAAAGGAACGTAAGTTTTCCTGGTTGTGCTCAGTGACCACCAGGGCTCCCTGGGAAGGGCTGGAGGCCCCCTATTCCTAATTAAGTGTCTACACAGCACTTAATTCAAAATAGCTATTTCGAATTTGGCGTTACTCCTTGTAGAATGAGGTTTACCAGATTCGAATTAAGGGTTGCACTACTTCGAATTACATTCGAAATAGCAATTTGCATGTATAGACACTATTAAAGTTAATTCGAAATAACGGCTGTTATTTTGAATTAACTTTGCAGTGTAGACATACCCTCAGGGAAACTGTCTGTAACTCCGGAAAAAATAGCATGGGCCCAGTGCTCTGGAACCTGTCTTTTCATTGAAGCCAAAAGATGATGAAGTCAATTGAAGTTGAAGGAATTTAGCACCTTGAAAGATAAGGCTCAAAAATCCTTTTCCAACGTCCATTGAAATTAATTGCTTGCCTATTGAGTTCAATGAGCAGGCAATAAAGGAATTATTCTGAAGCCTATTTTATAAGCCTTTTACTGAGGACAAAGTGTGAATGGATTCCTCAGAAGAATTCATGTAGGTGAAAATCAGCTCTGACTCTTTTTCAGACTTCTAAATTTCACTCCTCTTTCCCTCACCAGCAAGGTGCATACTTGCAGACTAGACATATTTCTTGCTGGACAAGTTTCACTATATTTCCAGATTTAAAAAAATATATATATGGAAATTATTTCTAACAACTAATAGGTAGATGCAATTTCTCCCATCAAACGCTAGTTAGCAGCAGGGAGATAATTTAATGCAGATATGTGGACTGTCTGGAATGGAAGTGTAGTGTAAAGCAGATCATATTTAAATGCTTTCCCCCTTAATATCTAAGTAAGGCACTTAACTTGTCTGCAAAGGGACTATTAGTGCTTTATAAGCATGTGCTTAAGTGCTTTGCTAGATCAGCCCTTTAATTGCTCGACACATGAGGTTAGATTCACCACTGCAGTATTAACTTCCAAAGTGAAGTTCTGAGAAATCCAAAGTCACCCAGATGTGAATTGGGTTCATATAATTTATTCCCCGGTGCTCGGTGTCTGCTAAAGAGCTAGAGTGGCACTTTCAAATGCTCCTAAAGCACTTGGCAGCTTAAGGCCAGTGAAAGTCAATGCACCTGAATCACACAGGCACTTAAGAAAATCCCACACCTAAAAAAATACATTATGGAAAAAAGAGTGGAAGATTTTTTTCCTCTTTTGTAAAAACAACCAGTTTCCCCAAACTATTGCTTGGTTACTAACCAGTGTCACTGCCAAAATAATAACCCTTTCTATGAAATGCTCCATGGCTATGGTAAGTGAAACCCCAGCCTTTCTCAATTTTGCCATTGATTTCAGCGGGGCCAGAATTTCATCTGTTGGTTTCAAGAATGTGAATGCTACATATGAGGCAGAGGGGAAAAATTCCCTCTGACTCCATCAGATCTGTTGTCCTAGAACCTAGGAAGTATGTTTAAATATCATAACACAAAATAAATCTCTTCCAATTTGTCAGGATTCAGAGTGAAAATCCATCCGGGTGTAAACTGATGTCTCTCTCTTGACTTTGTTTCACACCAGCTATTACTTTGATGCTTCACACCAGCTGGGACCCTAGCCCAGAGTGCCAGCCTCGTCGCTGAACCATTGGCGTTCTGTTGACGTGCATGATCGATGTCAAGCGATTGCTATTTTTAATGTAATTTTTTGTTACAAGGTTTTCATTTAAAAACCAGCCCCGTGTCCTGGAAGTCTGGAGAATGCCCCTTCGACATACAGGTCATTTTGTGCCACTACTAAATTCATAGGTGCTGACTGTGGGTGCTCAGGGACTGGAGCACAAATGGGAAAAAACACAGTGGGCGCTCAGCGCTCACCAGCCACCTGTAAATCAGCTGCTCAGGCAGCCCTGCCAATCAGCTCCTCCCCACCTCATAGAACCTTCTTCCCATCACCAGTCAGCTGTTGGATGGCAGGGGGTAGGTGCTGGGGGAAAGGGAGGAGCAGAAGCAGGAAGAGGCAGAGCAAAGGTGTTGCATACTTGGAGGACTGAGTGGAGTGAGGGCAGGCAAGAAGAGATTGGGAGGGGAGAAGCTTCTGGGAAGGAGGCAAAGAGGCTAAATGAGAGTGGGGCCTTGGGGGAAGAGGCAAAGTGCCCTTGGGCCAAGCAGGGATGGAAAACCCCAGGGAAAGCTGAAATTCAGCACCTGTGGCTAGATTTTTAAAATCATGGTTGTATCTCATAGAATAATAGAAAATTAAAGTTGGGAGAGGCCTCAGCAGGTTATCTAGTCCAACCCCCTGCTCAAAGCAGGATCAACCCCAGCCACATCATCCAATGGATGATCTGCGTTACTCCCACTGGATGTTCCAGTTTGGTTAGAGCTATTACAGCCTGGTGTCTTAGTGAAATCAGAGGTTCTGTATGGACATTCCATCTGCCTTGGCTGCGTGCACTGAGGATGAGGACAGGCATAAAGGTACCCCTGTATAGATCCAGTTACAGGACTGGGTCCCAAAGCTACTCTCATTTCTCAGGTATGTTAAACAGAGGAGCTGAAGCCAAGTAGATTTGTTTTATTCTACGGTTTAAAAAATACCTTGTCTAAGTTTTCTTGGATGAATTCACATCCCATCCAGCGTGCAGCTAAATTTCTTAAAGAAAACGTCTTGGCAGCACTAAGGATTAAAAGGCCCTATTGAGTGGCCTTTTTGGGAAAAAAAATTAAAGCAGAGATTTTTATCTAATTCGCCTGACTCGAGGAGGCAGAACGCTAAGGAAGACACCAACTATCACAGGGTTGACAATAAAATCAGGAGAATTGACCATGCTGAAGCGCACAGTTTAATTGGCGCCCAACAGTTTCATTTCTGGGTGCAAGTCAGAAGCAAAACATATGCCCAGCTTACTGGAAAATCACACCCAGAAACTCTGATTTCACTCTACTTTACAGCCAACAAAGGCAGCCATCTACTGGGTTTGCTCTTACTTCTTTTCCAAGGTCCAGGAGTGCTAGCCAGGATAGCTGTCTCCCTGATCAGCTGCAGGCTGCCCGCTGAACATCTTTTGGCAGGTTTCACTGTTGCCTAGTGTGTCAGATTTTGGAGCTGTCTTCAAACCAGGTCTGGTTTTAATCCCTTTGCTGGATTTCCTGACTCAGCCAATGCTGCCATCATTGTTGTTTGCTTCGTTTGCTGATTCGGATGAAATGATAGGCCATCCCTCAGACTAGGTCCCATGCTGCTCTGGTGAGTCAAGGCAGATTTCTTTCTGCTAACGGCGTCACTGAAGGCCTCTCTTATCAGAATTTACCAGGCTGTCTTAGAACCATTTGAGCACCCTCTTTTCAGCATGAAATCAAGTCCAGAGTTAAGTAAATGCCCATATCTCTGCTTGTGCTCACGAACCACAGTGGACTAGATTTAGCTAAGGAATACTAGGGAAATAGCCATCTTTTATAGAGCAGCAACTAATAAATCACATTAGGATCAACTTTGAATCTTCCTTTAATAAAAAAATATTAATGAACATTGACTGCTATAAAGATCTTTTCCTGTTCTTTACAGAAAATTGGTGTTTAATAATCCCTCTTTGACATGCTTTTCATTACACTAACTATTTGGTTTTTTATTTTCTGTAAGTAATAACACCTGGTAGCCATCAGTAGAGACTTTCCTGTTAAAACTTAATTCGTTCACATAGGTATTTTTCCATTATTCTGAAATACTGCTGGGGTATAATCAACGGAATCGCCATTAACTAAGACTGCATGACAAACCCCAGAAACATTAAAAGTCATGAACTGGGCTCGAGAAAACTCCCAAATTGGTTTTAAATAATTAGATTTTTTTTAAAAAAGTTAATTTGGGGTTCTTTAGATTTGCCTTTTGGTTTTTGGTTTTGCTCAAGTCACGTTTTCAGACTTTTTTTTTTTCATGAACACAAAGCCCAGGAACTTTTTTTGTTAATGAAAGTTCATAGTCTCCCCTAAAGATGTGAATTAGGAGCTGGGATTTTAAAGAAAACTTGCAGCTGTTCTGAGACTCAGAATAATATTTCGAGAATTGGCTACACTGCTACAATGCGGCAGTACAGCAGGGCTGAGATTGTCCCCTCCTTGTGTTTGTGTGGGAGCATAGGCTGCATGAGGGCAAGTGAGGGATCCATCTTGCCCTCCTCGGTGGCTCTTCTGCCTACTCAAGGGCCAGGCCAATTACACTGCTTCTTCCTGGTGCCACTAAGGCATTAAGCAGCAGAACTAGCCAGCAGCTTAGGGGGGAGCTTAAGAGATTCAGGCAGTGAACTCTGGGAAAGTCTGGGTTTGATCTCTACACACACACACACACACACACACACACACACACACACACACAAATATACACCTATACCAATCAGACACAGTCTGGTCTTTCACTAGGCATAAAGGACAAAGAAGCCCTAGAGATAACATTTGGACTTTCCCTCTGTGGCTACATCTAGACTACATCCCTTTTCGTAAAAGAGATGTAAATTAAACGTATCGCAATTGCTAATGAAGCGGGGATTTAAATCTCCCCCGCTTCATTAGCATAAAAATGGCTGCCGCTTTTTTTCCGCGTGGAGCTTTGCCGGAAAAAAGCGCCAGTCTAGATGCTGATCTTGCGGAAAATAAAGCCTTTTCCGAAAGATCCCTTATCCCTTATTTCGGAAAAGGCTTTATTTTCTGCAAGATCAGCGTCTAGACTGGCACTTTTTTCCGGCAAAGCTCAGTGCCGAAAAAAAGCGGCAGCCATTTTTATGCTAATGAAGTGGGGGAGATTTAAATCCCCCCTTCATTAGCAATTGCGATAGGTGTAATTTACATCCCCTTTACGAAAAAGGGATGTAGTCTAGATGTAGCCTGTCTGTTTGGGGGTGGGACAGTCTCCTATTCACCCATTTCCCTTTTGCTCTATCACACAAAGCCATCATATACTGGCTCAGCATATGAAGGGAAAAGAGGAAGTGACAGATGAGTGTTGTAATCTTAAAACTTCTGTAAAAAGCATTAGATAAAATGAGACTCATGAAAACCTACCAATAAAGCCATGGGTGGTAGAAAGAGGCGCATAAAACCAGGCCTCCTGGAATCTTTCACAATCTCTTTTATGCCGTATGGAGCAATTTTGTTTCTTCATGAGCATTTCTGGGCATAATACAAGGGGTTTTAAGCTTGATATAGAACAATCAGGAAGAGCTTAATTTCACCAGTACTGAATTCCTTACACGTGCAAAACTTCCACTGACCTCATGGTAGGAGCTATGACCTACAAGTGTTTCAGAACAAGGCCATAAGAGAGTTTGCCTCTTCCTAGTACGTGTGCTAACAGATAACTGAGAATAGCCTTTTGTTTCTCTCCAGACCACAAGGAATACGATGCCTATCTCTCTTACACCAAAGTGGATCCAGATGCATTAGACTGCGATAATAATGAAGAGGAGCAGTTTGCGCTTGAAATCCTGCCGGATGTTCTGGAAAAGCATTATGGATACAAACTCTTCATTCCAGATAGGGACCTGATCCCTAGCGGGAGTAAGTACTTCTGAACATCGGGTTTAATCTTATTTGATGCTATTGAGAAGGCAAGTGCTGCAAGTTAAGCTCTGTAGAGGGATAGGTGCTGTTCCTTCTCTTTGCAAGACCGCATTCAGAACCTCAAGAGTTTCTGCATCACAGCAAGATGTGATCTCTAGTTCAGGCTCTGATCCTGCACCAGCGAAGTCGTTGGGAATTTCGCCCTTCAATGGGAACAGGATCAGTACCTTCCAAAGGGTAGTCCTGTGGCACCTAAGTAATTTTGAAATAACCCTCGAAGATTGAATTTGTAAGGGGAGCTTCCACACTACCAAGCTCATTATTTCGAAATAAGGGGCCACTTATTTCGAAATCTGTGCTCCTGCTTTCCTTGAGGAATAATGCTAATACAGAAATCATTATTTCGAAATAGTGGTAGTGTGGACACTCAGAAATCGTTATTTTGAAATAGTGGTAGTGTGGACACTCCAGTGCCGCTATTTCAGAATAACGACTCCCCAGAGTAATTTGAACTAATTATTCCCAGTACTTCCTGGGTCTCTAAGCCAAATTGAGTTTTTTCGAAATAGTTTCCTAGTGTAGACATGGCCTTAGAAACTTAGAGAGAATGAGAGGGAGAGAGAGAGAGTGTATCATGAGCTTTTCTTAGAGAGAATGAGAGGGAGAGAGAGTGTATCATGAGCTTTTGTGGGCCAAACCCACTTCATCAGAGGAATAATAGAAACCAAGTATTTTATAACAGAAAAACAAAATAACCTGTCAATGTTAGGACCAGTGCTAATGAGGCTAAGGGGGCTGGAAGTGACCCATGCTTAGCTATTGATGTAAAAATGCAGTGTTAAAGACAGGGAAAGCTGGTTTTATAATGTGACATCCAGTTAATGTCTTTGTTTGGGCCCAGGGAAACAGTGTCAAATTTGCAGATGAATGACAGGTCCCCAAGCTCTCTCTGTAATTGAATTCTGCAGAACTGTAAAGCATAATAAAAAGGCTCAACGTCAGACAAAGGTAACTGTCAGAGGTTGCTAGGAAGGGCAATCTGTATGCAGCAAATTTCTATTTAACCTTTAAAATGGGATTCTCTCAGTAATTATCCTTTGATAATTATTTGTCCACAGCAACCTTGCAAATAAAACTTTTCTTATTGTCTGCTTTTTTTTTTCTTCTGGATTTCCAGGTGGAAAATACTATAAACGCTTTTGTTTCCAAGTTAACATCAGTTGATCCATTATTAAAATAGAGATTTGTTCATTTATAAACATAATTTGTACCATGTAAATAATCCATCCCAGTTATTCCAAGGGATGTGTGCTGTTCATTTATTTGGCTTTGTTGCCCATTACTCATTAGTGAAATGCAGTTGTCCATTTCAGATCAATGTCACTGCAATGTCTGAATACTCTTCAGCATGTGTTGATGTCTGAAACAACAATGACACATCTATAGCTGTGATTTTTCCTGGTTTGTTGTGGGGGACAAGTGAAAAATGGCACCGTACTATGCATAAGATCCATCGATTCTGCATGCACAGTTTGCTTGCATTTATGCCATGTGTTTTTGCCAAATAGCTGAGATGCTGCTGTGAAACGTATGCTTTTGAATATTAATTTAGTTTGCAATGTCTGTATTCAGTTAGCTCCCACTCAAACATGTTAGAAAAGGGAAATACGCACCTCTGTGTAGGTATCAATACAAAAAGGTGTCAACATGAAACCCAACTATCTGATCCTAATGCAGAAAGCCCTGCCCCGTATTGAAGTAGTCATAATCAGCCACTTGAGGCATCTGCCTGCAGAGGAACCTGATGATGATGCGTGGGTGTCACCAGTCTCCAAGGATATGTCTACACTACCACCCTAGTTCGAACTAGGGTGGTTAATGTAGGCAACTGAAGTTGCAAATGAAGCCTGGGATTTGAATTTCCCAGGCTTCATTTGCATCTTGCCGGGCGCCGCCATTTTTAAATCCCGGCTAGTTCGGACTCCGTGCCCGCGGCTACATGCGGCACGGACTAGGTAGTTCGGATTAGGCTTCCTATTCTGAACTACCTGTACTCCTCGTGGAATGCCTTAAATGGGATTGAAAGAGTGAAATTCCCCGGAAAGGCTCTCTTCTTTCCAGGTCCAAAATGCTCACTAGGAATTGTACTCCTTCCTGACTGAGAAATGGTTACATTAATAGGTGAGAGATTACTGAGTGAGAACATGGATCTACATGCCAATAAATAAATAAACAAACAAACGAACGCTGTGAGCTTGGTCAGTAGCAGGGATTATTGGAAGTATCTGTGGTTCAGATACATTCCATTCAACAGAGTTATTTTTTTAATGTAGCAAAAGTACAAAGTGAATGAAAGAGAGTTTAAATGTATCCTTTTAATCATCAACTATGAGTCTGTTTCTCCCAGCTGCTTCAATGACTACCTGTCATTCAGACACTCCACAAATACTTGTCATCAATATGGGTATTCATTTAACATCTCCTGGAATGCTCATTTTGTGAGCATTCACAGATTAAATATTTCTCTTCTCCTCGCCATCCTCTCTGCTTCGGCATTATGAAAGAGCTTGATTCTTTCATTTAGAACCTCGAGAATGCTTAATCAGACTTAATGACGACAATGCAGAATAAAATATGTACTTGAAATTAGCATGAGTTGTGTGCCTGGGATTTGTGGAAAAAGGGAACTGCATTTGGACTTTTGTTAAAGAAAATGTGCAGATACACAAATGTATCTGTACCTGCATATGTGTATGGAACATACCTACTTGGGTGTTCTATTTAATATTGATCTTACATTACAAAGGGTTATCGATGAAAAAAACAGAACAGGCAGAGTAGACTGCTTAGGCACTCTGGAGAAGCAAACATGCAATTTATTTTGTAACAAATCAAGCGACCGTTCTGTCGGACACTATAGTTTTTAGGTGCAGCTTCTTTCAGGGGAAAAAAAGTATTTATTTGACGCGCACACCACTTTTGTATACTACCGTGTTTTGTCACTTGATAATGTAAATGACAGCACAATGCAGAACAGCACCATCAGGTGATCTGGGGTGTTTCTTCATATAACTTCTCTTATGCATTTAATATTATAACATGCCAGTACTACAGTCCATTGTGTATCGTTGAAGGCTGATGGTTTCAGGTACTCTCTGCAATTGTAAGCTGCTGTTGTCGGAGGGTGTTCATTTTTGCTCTGAATTCCCGGCATGAGGCAATGCATAGTTTCTCTTTGGACTGGGAAGAATCCAAATATAGATTTGTTCAATAGCATTGGGTGGTTTATTTTGTTTCAGGGCATTTTTGAACAAACTGAAAAGCTTACCTCAGTAAAAGCAAAGGGCACGTTTGATTATGGTTTAATCGAATTGATTCTCAGCTTAGCCTCTGGAGTGAAGGGGGGGAGAGATATTAGTCTCTCTTCATGGATGTCTTTAGGATCTGATTGGACAAGTACCTGCCAGGGATGGTCTCAGTTTCCTTGGTCCTGACTCAGAGCAGAGGAGTGGAGTAAGGGGACTTCTCAAGATCCCTTTCAGCTCTGTATTTCTGTGATACTGTCTTTATATGCAGGATGTAGAGCCAGATGCGCAAGCTATTCAGAGGGAATGAATGGGCCATAACCTCGCATCCGATGCCCAGCAGAGAATTCCCATGCTGGAGAGGAAACCTCCTGCTGGTACATCTGTGCTCTATTCAAACCCTGCACTTCTGTCCCCGCACTTGACTCAGGGGGAGTGCTGGGGACAGGAAGGGCCATACCGAGGAGCACGTGCAGCAGCTGTTGTCAAGTGGGTTGCGGCAGCACAGAGCAAAAAGCAAAGGCATCCTCCATTTTGGACAGTGGGAAACTGGCCTGCAGAGGCCAGATCAGACAAAGGCATATTGCCACTTGCAGCAGGCTCTGCTTTCTGTTGCAGGATGCTGGAATGAAAATACTATCATTGCAAACTATGAATGACTTCTGCCTTAGGGAGAGAAACCCAGGAAGGGAGGGAGCATGACAGAGTCTGCCTCTGGTGGGGTCCCAAGAAGGCCTTTTTTGTAAAGCTATTTCAGTAAACTAACTGGGTGTCCCTAAACTACTGACTTCCAGATGCTGGAACTGGATGAGAGGGGGTGGTGCATGCTGCTCTCTCCTTCTCATTCCCTCAGAAGACAGGATACTGGGCTAGCTGGGCCATTGGTCCAAGCCAGTCTCGTATTCTTATGGGCTGTGTCTAGACTGGCCAGTTTTTCCAGAAAATCAGCCGCTTTTCTGGAAAAACTTGCCAGCTGTCTACACTGGCCGCTTGAATTTCCGCAAAAGCACTGACTTCCTACTGTCTGAAATCAGAGCTTTTTGCGGAAATACTATGCTGCTCCTGTTTGGGCAAAAGTCCCTTTTGCGCAAAACTTTTGCACAAAAGGGCCAGCGTAGACAGCTGAGATTTGTTTTCCGCAAAAAAGCCCCGATCACGAAAATGGCGATCGGGGCTTTTTTGCGGAAAAGCGCCTCTAGATTGGCCACGGAGGCTTTGCCGCAAAAAGTGCTTTTGCGGAAAAGCCTCCGTGCCACTCTAAATGCTCTGTTCCGAAAATGCTTTTAACGGAAAACTTTTCCGTTAAAAGCATTTCCGGAGAATCATGCCAGTCTAGACGCAGCCATGGAGTTATGTTTGAGAACATCCCATGCAGAAGCCAATGAATTTGCCTGTGTTAAGTCACTATTTTTTCAAGCGACACTCACCTGGCCAAGTGAAATGAGGGTGATTATTTTTAGGGTGCAGGCCCTGCTCGGATGGATGTGATTTTATGACCCAGGTCCTAGAGCTGCTTGTGAGTCCTCTGTCTGAACTGGGGCAGGGAACCTTTTCTGGGTCGGGGGCTGCACCTCACTGACGTGGCTCCCAACTGAGAGGGAGAAAGACTCTCCCCACATTCTCCTCACACACCAGAGCCTGGGGGGCTCAGGACAGTAGATTGTGTGCTCCAGCCCTGTGGGGGGACGGGAC